CTCCCCCTGCCGCAGCTGCCGCCCCTGCTGCCGGTGAGTATGAGTGGAGAGGCATTGTTATGGGACAGCTCCGTTGTAATCCATTAAAATCTTAACGATTGAGTCCAAATTTCAAGGCTTTTCCACTTTGGCAGTTCATTATGTGATTGAAGTGTAAACTGAACAGTTGCTTTTTCTGTGGGCAATTAGAAGCATTTGCTCTTCATCCACATTAGGATTGGTCTGGCTTAGAACTGAGAATCAAACAGATTTCACTGTGTAAAGCACATCCCTTCAATAGTACTGTCTGTGTCCCCTCGGTGTTTATATTTGGCTCTTGAAAGGGAATGAGATGAGCTGTGAAGGCTGGAATACCAACAATATGGAAGCTCACAACACCAAAACATGTATCTTGAAACTCTGTGGTGCAAAAAATGTAAATACTGACCATCGTCTTGGTCTTTTTTTTTTTTCCTTCAGCTGAGGAGAAGAAAGAAGAGAAGAAGGAGGAGTCTGAAGAATCTGATGATGACATGGGATTCGGCCTATTTGATTAATTATTTGTTCTAGAAAAATTATTAAAATTCTTTGTTTTAAATGTTTGAGTTTATTATTATAACCATACAAGTGCTATTGGGTTTGGACAGCTGTTCTTAAAATAGCTCTGACAAAGCTTTGATTTATCTCTCTCTCTGAAACAGGTAATGTGAATTTTATGACGAGCCATGGGACTCAACTTTCTTAAAGTATTTAGAAAATGGCTAAGGTTGGGTGAACCTGGATGCTTGTTTTGACACTGCTGTTTCTTAAACAGCGTGTGGAAGCTGAATCTACCTGATGTTAACTTAAGTTCACCTGTTCTTAAGCTCACCTCCACCTACTATTTTGCCATCCCAGTTACTCAAGAAAGAGTCCCATCTATTCAGCAATAAAAGAACTTTATTTTTCAGGTTCTGTTTAATCATTTCCAAAACATGTGAAACTGAATAGACAACGGGTCTGAATTAGTCCAGAAACATAATTTCAGAGCTAAGTACAGTAATTAGTTTCTGTAAATATCTAAAAGCACCAATTTCATCACTGTGTAGGGGCGCCACCAATAAAATGCTTGACTGTGCTTGGATTTCATGTTACAGCTGTATGCTTAACATAGAATCTGCAACAAAAAAAAATACTGCATCCTGCTCTCCATGGGACGCTGAGATCAATGCAAAGGTGCTCTTCATACTGAACGGCTGTTCTGGAGTAGCTGGACTATTGGGACATGAGTTGCCTCAATCTGAACAAAAAGAAACTATTTTATGAGGAGAATGGTATTTTTGGAGAACTGAAACTGATCTCTGGTGTGCCCAGAAGAGCGCATCAGCTTGGGAGGACAGTAAATTTTGCTTTATAAAGTGTCTTCTGCTAGGAGATAGTTCTGGCAGGCAGCTTACCCTGGCTTTTACAGCGGTCTTTGGCTGTCACTGTAAGTAGAAGTAGCATGTGTGATGATCTTCCCATGCCAGGTCTCCACAGATAGAGTCAAGAAGAGGTATCCTGGAGCAGTCTATAGTGTGAAACTTTTCTAATGTAAGTTGTTTTTTTTTTGGAGGGGGGGGGAGGGGGGAAAGCACTAGCTGATAACAGCTGTGTTGGTTATGAGTCATTGGACAAAGCATGGCAAGTACTTCTGAGAGGAGTGAAATCCAAGTAGGAAAAACCTCGCTGAGAGGAAACGCCCATTACTTCACAGCAGCCAGTTGAAAGCTTAGACCTCAAAATGGCTGTGGTTTAAGCAAGTAACCCTTGCTGTCCTTCTGTGCCTGCTGCAAGAAAGAGTTACAGGAGGTAATGGTGCCAATACCTTTCATCTGCTTTGTCTCTTAAGCCCTAGCATGGTGATCTTTGTGGTAGTAACAAAATCTCTTGTTCCGTGTAGTTTTCTGTCAGACTAATGGCTGTGGTTTGGCAGTGGAAGGGGTGCAGGTATTCCTGTGTTTCTTTCCTTGCCAATTTCTCCCATTTCAGATCTCTGAAAAAGAGTGGTTCTTGGACGTGGTTTTGAGAGGTAACCCACCCCACCCTGCGATATCGCCTTGCTTGCCTGCCGCAAGAGCAAAGTCAATGTTTTTGCAGAAAGGAACTGCCCTGTCACGCCACTCAGCAGGGTTTTTCCATGCACAAAGGAATTTGTTTCAGTGGCACTGAGCTATTCCATTAATTTTACTGTGCCCAGCCCTGTGGGATGAGACAAAGCTGTGGTGCCAGCTGTGGGCTACTGTGATGAGGGGAGGACTACGGCTACACCTAGACTAACTTCTTTCTTCCCCCTATGACCTTTTAAACCTTGAGTTATGGACCCGATCCTGTGCTAGGTGTCCTCCTATCACCTTTAAATTCCTTCTTGAAAGTGCATAATTTTGATGAAAATTCCTGTCACTCAATCTGCTTTAAGAAAGAGAAGGACAGCTCATTTGGTAAACTGTTAGAGAAGAAACTTTTGGGGGCAGCTCTCAGAGAAAGCACTGAAAATACAGCATTTGTTACACTGCCACAGGGAGCCAATGCATTTTGTGTAACCACGCTGTAGGTATTCCTTGTGAAGGTCAGGGGACAGGTTTACTCCAAGATTTCACATGTTTTACAGAATTTGCTAAAACCTCTGCACGGTGAACATTTCTTCCAAATGCAAACTCAAAGCGTTTTAAGCTTTCTGCCCCCATCCCTATTTATGAAACGGTTCTCACCTGATGGCTTTGTACATGAGCCAGGAAGTCTGTTGCAGACTTGTTTGGTGCTCTGGATGGAGTTCACCGTTAGAACAGATTTTTCCTGTCTTCTTCACAAAGAAAGGCTCAAAGGCATTGAAGAGAAAGGTAAGACTAGCTTTGTGCCTGGAGGTTACACTGATAACTGATCATTACTAAATTGACAGTAGGGGAGAGTGATTTAGTCATAGGCTTGACATTGAAACGTGAGATTTCCTCACCGGGACACAAATGCTGCGCCATCTCAAATCAGGTCTAACTGAAAATCATTCCTTACAAACACCATGAGGCAGGGAGAGTGACGTGACATCTTCACTACTTGGAAAGCAGGGAGAACATCCTGAACACTAATGGAAAGTAATAAGCAATAAGCTCCCTGGGGCCGCTGGCAAAGTAACTGGTTTCACTCTTTAGCACTAAGGCCCAATTTTGCAAGCAGGCAGCCCTGCTGAGCTCAGTAAGTTTGACTTTCTTAGGGAAGAGGTATCTGTAGTAGCTTTCCTAGAAGGAAACTTCAGTCCCAATAGAGCAAGACAAGGCGACTGCTCCACTGCCTCAGGAGATGCTCCTGTTGAGCAAGTCCTGAGTGTTTGCCATGGAATTGTCCGATATACGCAAACATCACAGGTAAGAAAAAGACATCAAAGTCAGGCTTTCTGGCGGTGTTAACAGCACTCAGGTTGGGCTTCATGACCAGTGCTCCAGTCTTGCTGACTACAGGCAACAGTACTAAAGTAACATGCTGAAGACAGACTGCCACTCAGCTTCCCTTTAAAATTAATTCCCGTTGGCTGCCAACAACCTAAGGTCTTACCTGAAAAAACAAACAGAGCTTGTTTGCGTCTATGTTATTATCTCATATGTACTAACTGCTCACCATTCATTAGACTAGAAAACAAATGCAACAAACAGAGATTGCAGGAGAAGCCGTCTTAGTGGCATCACAACGTGTAAGGGCACAAGTGAACTTGCAGTGTTCTGAGAGGAGTTTGATATGCATGAAAAGCTGCCATGTAAATCTTGCTGACCTGGCTTATTTCTATGGCATTCGCAATTGCAGGATTACGAGCAATTGCAGGATTACGGCAGTACTTTCTCATTGAGGAGAAAAAGGTTAGTTTCAGGGCACAATTTATTTTTGAGAAAAACACAGTTGTTTGCCAACCTGCTAGTACCAGTACCCAGGCGGCACTCCACAAGAGATTACTGTTCACATGGTTTGTCTCATTAACCTCTTTCAACAGGGTAGCAATAACCTCCTCAAATAAGTAACATTGAGGGCCAAGGCAGAGTGATGTAAACAACTCAGGATGAGATTGCCGTTGAGAAATCAAGTGAAACTAACCCCAGCATTGTCGCAGGATTGTTGTTTATTTTCCAGACGCAGTAGGAACCTGAAGGTTTGTGAAATGCTGAAAAAAGAGGAAGCAGCGTTGGCTAGAGCACAAAGTTGTTCTTGTGGTTACAAGTGTTAGGGAGGTATCTGCAAATAAGGTTCAGTATTCAGTTTTGCCACAGATTTCCGCTGAACTCACAGACCATTGACTAATTCTTCTGCAGCACAATCCCTCTTCTGGAAAACACAAGACACAATGTTTTTTATGCATTGGGCTACATGGAAATACCTTTCCATGTCAGCAGAAGCATGGGGTAAAAGCACCATGATTGCCTTCGTGTTCAGGGCATTTAAGAGGGTCCAGGCTCAGGTGTGCCAATGCTCACCTCTTCAGGTGGAGGAGATGAGGGCTGACAAGGGTTGTGTAACCCCATCAAATGCAAGGGAGGAAGGAAATTACAAAAGCAAGTAGAGGTATGAGAAGAAGAGAAAGAAGGGTGGGAATAGGGCATAAGCAGATGACTTGAGATTGCGGGGTCAATTCTTTAGAGCTAGTATGTATCAAGGGGTAGTTCCTGGTAGCTAGATGAGGTGGGGGGTTCCAGGGTAGGACCAGGAAGAAAGGTAAGGCTGGACTCCTGTCTGTCTGATGGGAGGAAAGTGCAAATGTTTAATCAAAAAGCACTCTCTCTGTAGAAGCTGGAGTACGAGGCCTAACTTGGGCTCAAAAACTGGATTTATATGAGGGTTACCTGCTGAGTTTGGTTGCTTCAGTCAGCTGGCTGTGAGGCAGTAGACTGAGACACTAGATAGCTGTTCTTACAACTTGGATGGCCCCTCTATGGGGAGGGTATCAGCCCGCCTTGTACCTTTGAAAGGGCAATTGGAGTGAAAGCAACAGGAGAGGGGCTCCTTGGATGACTTCCACTAACATAATTGGTGAAATTCCTATGGGGAAGAAAGCCTAGCTTTGATTAGTCTGAGAGCTGTTAAGGACACGTATAACAGTATCCCAAATGAGAAACTTCTGACCGGTTATAAGAAAACTAATGCAAATAGATTTACACCAAGATGAATTAATTGGTTTTTTTAAACTTTGGTAGAAAGTGCTTTTTGTCTCCTGTTAATTCTATTAACTACTTATGCTTTTTGTTTTGTAGCCCCCAAAACTCCCTCTTGCTGAACTTGCTTCCTTGCTTTGAGTTGAGCAGCTGCTTCTGCTATGCTAATCCTTTTGGTGTCCCTGTGAACTTTCATGTTTATCTAATTGTTTGAATGACTATAGCCTGTATTTTTTATGACAAAGGGATCTTTCCAGCTTCTGAAATCTATTATGATCTCTTAATAGCACTGGCCTCTCACCCAGTGGTGCTCTATGGGGAGCTGATACGCCGTGAGCTTGCTCGTGGAGCACTACTGAAAATTGCAGTTGCCCTGACCAAAGGTAAGCGTTTTGGTGAGCTTAGAGGCA